ACTGCCGTCTGAAGAAATGCATCATGGTTGGCATGTCCAGAGACGGTGGGTCATTGTTGTTGTTCTTTTGTGGAGCTTGGAATAAAAATAGCGGCGTTAGAGGCAGTACGGTTTCCTGGAACTTAGACACAAGTGACTAAGCCTGGTCTGGCGTGCTGGAAGGCTTGCATGACCCGTATGGGATTTGATCTTGGTTTTGATCCTAATTGTATCACTAGCGCCACTTGCGATGCACAAAGTTTCATCTGATGGTTTTAGTTTTATTGCTTGTGCTTGCTGAGGACTTGTCGGTGGGTGGGTTTTCGCGCCAAAGCCCATTTGTCAGCGTTTCGGGCCATGTGGTGAAGGCACCTTTGTTAGGGTGCTCATTCCTTTCTCTGCACGAAAGTGCTCATGTAGATCCGGTCGCCATAACACCAAGTGATTAAGGGTTATTGTCAGACAGAAAGTGAACGAAGACGAAAATGGTGGGCAACTATGCAGTGTGGGAGCTCCTAGGGGGTCCTTCTAGGTTTGGTTCAGATAACGTTGAGGCTTTCTATAACGTTCTTTTCGACGATCGTAGTCTTACCTTATTGGACTTCAAATGTAAACCACTGCGGTGGCTCAGACAGAGCCACCCCGTCAGATCAGAGAAGCACTTTCGACGAATACCTCGGTAGAGATGGGAGACGCCAGGGGCCCACCATAATGAGATCGTGGCTTTCTTGAATTGACTGGTTTTTTGACAGTGTTAAGAAAGTGCTCCTGAAGTGCTAAAAATATCGTTAGACGCCCCCTGATGAAGTTAGCGCGCATCGGGAAATCCAAATTCCAGCAGTTTAGTACCCACTTCAACCACCACGAACCATTCAAGAGGCCGAAAGCTTCTCGAGGTTTAGACCAAGTGAAACGAGGAGTGCTACAAATTCAAATGGTGCATTTCTTGACCCCCATCCTGCAGAAGTAGGGCTGGAGAGTCGTTTTCGCCGTCTCTGCGTTCCGGGTTGCAGGTCAGTAACGATGGGCTGCTCGGTGGCGCTTGGTCACTGACAGGTTACTGATGGAGCGATTACGTGCCTTCTACGTCGACGTTGACGTCGTAGGAAGGAAGGTCGATTTTACAGTTTTAGCGCATGAGTTCGATTTATGCTTTTCGGTGTGCTGGCGTTCGTTCGGCCGTTCGTTGGTGAAGGACTATCGGGCGTTTTTGTCTGATCGCGCATGTGGGTGTCGTGTCTCCCGTGCCCTCCAACTGAACGCGCTCACTTCCTCCATTCACTTCTACCTACGTCTGTGCGATCCTTTCCTCCTCGTTTCGTCGGCTCGTCGACGTCACAACGCGCTCGTTTCCGAACCACGCGATCGACCTCGACATGTGAAATTGAAATGTCGCCATCACTGTAGGAGATTATGCTAATGGGCTGCGAAATTCGGCTTTGGCCTCGATTTGTGCTTTCGTTGTTATTGAGTGGTGATTCGGTTTTGATAGATAGCGCTTCAAGATCTAAACCCCGAACAGGGTAACCAACAGGGTAACGAATCGCCACTTGGTTATCTGAGAAGTGAAGTTGTTCGGGTCGAGCACCCAACCCCTGTTAGACCGGCGGGGTGGCTTATGTTTCACGACCATACCTTGATAGGCGATATATCGTCTTCACATCTGGAAGGAATTCTTTTCTGGTGCGACATGGATCGATGGCCCATCCACCCTCGGTCGGCGTTCAGGGTAATAGCCAGAGGAACCACTTTTCAATGGCTTCTTCATGCTTCGTTTCAGGTCGTAGGGTCTCTTACCATCAGAGTGGCTTTGCGGCCTAGGAGTTGCTATCAAAATTAAAGAGATTTTGAGAAGTAGACGTGTGCATGGCGCATCTCACTATTCCCAATTACTCCCTCACTTTCGCTGTTTCTTTCTTTCTAATTTGAATTAAAAATTGGTTTGCTTGACAGTATCCAATTCTTGGTGTGCGCCGTGCATTTCAATACCACTCTAAAACATCAAAAGGTGTTAGTTGGTTATAATATTGCCTTTTTGAGCTTGCAAGCAACTCTGTTAGTGAGCAGCCTCTTGGTACAATCTGACGCCTTTGAGCAGGGCTAATGCTTTGTTTCGAGTTGCAGCTTTTCGAAAATACTCGTGTCATGATGAAAATTCTCCAAAAGTTTTTCATCGTCGTTTTCTCTGCATGTTTTCAATTCGTTGAGCGTTCGGCTCTCTCTTCGTTGTTGCATTGGCGAATTTGAAATGCGTGCGTAAGTTCAGAAACATCAGTTTTCAGGGGTATCAGCCAGGCAGGGGAAGCGGTACGGTACGAACGGCGCTACAGGGCATAATTGACACGCACCCAGTTTCACTCAACGACAATGACCGCAGTGATGTGAGCGGGGTTACGGTAGCGTTCGTGAGACCTTTCTTTTTCGTTGTTCCTCTGTCCGAGTCCTCCACATTCTCCTCATCATACACCGATGCCACCGAACGCCGAGCCTCAGTAGGCGTTTACGAGCTTGGCCTTGGACAGCGTCTTAGATGACCTTACAGTTCACTTTCTGCTAATTGTGGAAAGAAAAACCTTGAGTCGGTCTTTTCAGTGTGGGACGAATGCGAAAATTGCGAGCGTCGGCGGAAAAAAACTCACGCTCCACCGCGACTCAGATCGAAATCGCTGCTGCAGTTGTGCAGTGTGCCTGTGAAAAGAGATTCTAAGACGAGGAAGCAAGCACTGGGGCGAATGCGGGCGAAGGTTATCGGCCGCGCGCGTAGTGGTTGCGGGTTAGAAGCGCTAAAAGCGAAGCGAAACGAATCGTTTCATGTCTCAAGGCTAGCTAAATCGGTCAAGGAAGGTCAACTTGAAGGACCATCGCGCTCTTGGACAAGGGGTTCGCTTCAAGTGGTGAGGTTGGATTTTGGAGGACGTTCATTGATTGGTCGGAATTTCCTACACAATTACGTCGTACTGGATATGGCTAAAGATTTAGAATAGAATATTTGTTCAAGTGTATTGGTTGTCTTATCGCAAGACAACCGGGACATTGCGTGCGGACACAAACGTTACTCCCTTGTCGCTTTGACTTTTTGTCAGGAGAGGCGGGGTACAAACCCCGGAGTACGTGAGTTTTTGTGTTTCTGCCAATTCCAGGCTTTTCCTAGGGGATGCCCCTCATCTTGCCAAGGTAGCCGACTGTCATTAGGTTTTAAGTAGCGTCTTCGATTCAACGAGCCAGACGCGGGTGAGGCACCTTCAAGGACCCCCTCCCTCCCTTCAATAGTGTGCAGTCTTTTCATCATTACGGACTGGAAATTTCTCACGTGAAAGGCTCTACGTACTTGGTGCAAGCTGTGGTTATTGTTTCAATATCAAGTGAGCCTAATTCTTTTCCAGCGGTCCGCTTTGGACGTGTGCCAAAACGCGAAAAAGCGAAAATGGTCGAGGAAATGCAACGAACATCGGCTCAATCGCAGCTCGACGCACTGGCGGTTCAATTCGAAAACGAGGCGGATGCCATCGAAAGGATTGCGGCAGCGTTCACGTTACTCTGCGGAACGGTAAGTGTCCATTTCTGGGTCGTTTGCGCTGTGGATTACCCTCCCCTTGCTGAAAATGGAGGCCTCAAGTGAAGGTTCTAGAGTTTCAGGTGACATCAAGCATATGTGGCCTTATCTTTGAATCAGTCTTCTTTGAACTTATTCTTTCCCCACAGGAAGTGTTTGAGGGACTTAAGCATTCGATTGACGGGAGCAGGGGCATGTCCTAGTCCTCCACTAATGACCAATGGGTAGGAGAGAATGGTCCAGTGCACAACAACTCAGTGCTTCTCTTGTCCCCGACAAACTACCAGTTAACCGATTTCTTAGAGATCGGAGGCCTGTTGGCAAAGGGCAGTCTGTAGCATCACCATCGTCCGTCTCTAAATGATGTCACGTCCCACTCTACAACCTTCCCCCTCCCTCACGTGTACTTTAAAATTTTCTGAAATTTTTTCGTTCAAATTCATCCGATGTCGTTGAACATCCTTGAACTCCTGATGCAGCCTACTTTTCGGTCCCAGTTTCTTTGGTACGCATTGCAAGGCCATTTGGCTGTGGTTTTTAGTGGTGGACGTCTCTTGCTAAAATATGCCGAATAGCTACAAGGGCAATAAGCTTCCAGATTTCTGTGCAATTCTGTTTAGACCCGGTCAAACCCTACTTCTCTTTATATGTGCTCTCCTCAGCAACTAAAGCGCTGTTTATCTCTCCTGCTAGGGGTTAACCGTTTGGTCACGCAATTTTTCACTGTGAGTATCCTTTGCATCTTGTTTTTTCAATGGGCAGTGGCAGTGAACGGTGAAAATCACGGTGATAGTGAAATCACATTTCCTTCCCTACATCTTCCCTGACTTCCGGTGGTGTGAGGTGGATTCGAGATAAGGAGTCCAAGGAGAACGAAGAACTTCTATAGAAACAGAACTCGAGAGGTGGTCATGCCCGTCGTTTTGTATTATCCATGCTGCTTGGTATCCCTAGGGCTACACTCAGGCCACACACTCTGATCGGAGCGTGGTCTTGATATTTTTGTTGTCATGGATGCTCTAGTCCATCTCGGCTCGCCTGAGTTCTTATGTGTGCCTAGGCTATTTCGAGGTCAGCGATTCTCATAAAGTCACTTTTTCAGATTGAATCTTGCATCGTCCCGCTGCCAGGTGGTCGTTGTCCATTGCAGTTTCACTCGTATCTGACGGCAATCAAGGGCGTAGTCGATTTCGCCAACACGATCCCAGGATTTCTCTGCCTCGCGCAAACCGATCGCATTCAGCTGCTTAAGGTGTGTTACAACGAAACGATTATGTAGAGAAATTTTCGATGTATGTATGTAGAAGTATAAGTTTAATGTATTTAAATATTTTGAATTGGGGGTAAGTAACCGCAGAAGTGGAAACTTCTGAAGTTCCAGAATTTTATGTGGCGATGGCATAGAAGCTGCCTTGTGTTCCGGCAACGAAATGACCTGATAATCATTTGAGTCGTTGACTTCGTTACATTCGCACCTCTCTTAGGGGTCTTAAGGGCTGTAAGGGTTTTGGGAAAAATTGATAGATGCGATGATGTTAGTGCTCTTCCTCAGGTTTTTGGTTGGTGCGATTTTCATGTGGTACTAAGCAGAGGGTTGAGTGCACGCACGTATGTCCGACTTGAATGTGGACTACCTTTCCTTATCCTATTTCCCGCCCCCTCCCTGCCCTGCTCCTATCCCCTGAAAGTGGTTTTCAAACTATCTCTATTTGGTTTTTCTAATGGTACTGATAATCCCAGCTCCATAAAAGTCTATCGACCGGGGCAGGGGCCGATTCGGCAAATTTGGCGAAAATTTCGAAGAAATTTTAGAAAATTCCTCAAATTGCCTGAAACTTTCCTCTATGCCTAAAATAGGGCCTTCCCATCATTTCCATAAACCCAACGTCTTTTGTACCCTACCGAACACGACCCTCTTCTAGTATATTCCACTCATGATTTTTACCCAACGGCCACGTTTGTCCCTGCTACAGGCACAATGTTTTTTATGAGAAGGGGCGCTATGACTGATGTGTGGTAACAATGCTTGGGATGGATGAAATGAATTTCTGTGCATTTTTGAGATAATTTCCGGTTCGTGGCGTATTATTAGGAAAATCTATACATCTTTTTTAAGTTGTAAATTCGTCTGAGAAGCTTTCACAATGTCAATGGCGGGAGTGAAAAGTTAGCAGTTCCAAAATTTTATCAAAATATTATATGTACATACAATACCTATCACAACGTTGCGCTTAGGCGCTATACACCCGTACTATCAAACGAGAGATGTATCGGTTTCAGAGCTGCGTGTTTGACGTGCTGCTGCTGGCATCGGCGACTCGAAGCAATGGTCAGGATACGAGCCTTCCGGCATCACCCCTCCTGGCTCACTCACTGGTTCATTTCACACATCGTCTACGTTCGCTACCTGCTGGCTGTGCGTCTCTGCTGGCTGCGTTGGCGGTATGCCAACAGGACGTTCTTCTTCCATTACCGTCACTGTCGACACGTCTCGTGGAACGCCTTTGGTGGCTTGAATGGGACCCGACCGTTGGGGCCAGCGACGTTTAGCGCGATCGGCGCCGTCAGACTTCTTGGGCTTGACGCTGACGTCACGTTACGCATGTGGCATAACGATCGCTACGGCACGCCGTCAGCGATACCGACCTGCGTTCCGATTCCGGCACCAGTTTCGGTGGAAGTGTCGCCGTCATCTGTGCGCGGTCGTTCCGTGAGCGACATGCTTCCATCGCATCGCTCTTGGAGAAGCCACCGGTGAGCATTTTGTCACCACGTTCCGTGTCCAGCGAACCGGGAACGAAGATGGACATGAAAATCGACATCAAAATGGAGGACAATGAAGAGCCGCTAAATCTGTGCACCAGAGAGGATGCGAAAACCGATCAAAGTATGGAATTCCGCGGCAGACGCGATGTCTCCGCGAAGTGTATCAGTCGCTCGGAGGTAGTTCGTTTCCGACTGATATTGCTGCCGTTTTTGCCGCGACCACCAACGTTGCAGCACACGACTCGAGCGAATTCCTTCCGGAATCGGCCTGAAATTGGTAAAAGTAGTGATTTAGTTCTATCTCAGTAATCACATTAGTTTTGCTAACATTTTTCATTTTCGTCATAATAATCCTGTTTTGTTAAGCTTTGCCCATGGAAATGACCCGGTTCTTCTCTTTTTGTTATTGATTAGGTGACGAATAGAAAATGAGTATTGGTCTCCGTATTTGCCTCAAATCCACGTGGTTGGCGTTACCGCAAACTCATATTGAAGTGGTATTGTATTGATTAAATCGATCCGATCATATTGCCCCCGTCCAAAATATTGAAAAACAAACAAACGGTGACGCGATTTTAATTGCAGGAAATATTGTTGTATTTCTGACAGTGTTTTCTTTTTTTTTGTTTTATCATCAGTGTAGTTGTATGAATAGATGAGTGAATTATCACACTGACGGGATTCGTACGTGTATGTAAGGTTTCTTCTCGTTTTTGTTGTGGAAATAAACCAATCGATAATCGATTTTTTTCATTGGGGAAGGTTGGCATAATAGACTAGAATGGTATAAGTTTCACAGTGAAAAGTTCGAGCAGGCCTCATTGGCAAGTAGCCACAGACAAAGTAAACTGCCTGCACACTTTCGTGGAATCGAATCTCTACAAGGGAGGTCTTTCAGGGCAAGCCACGCTTTTTCAAAACGGTTTTTTGCATATTGTAGGGACGCATGTAGGGAACACAAAACCATGTTTCATTTTCGCTGAACGGTTTTAGCAGTACCAAAAAAGAAGCATAAGGTACTGTTAAGGTTCGATCCCCCGTGGCGACTAAATTTTGCATTTGGGTTGGCGCCTACGGTTTGGTGCCAAATCGCGCTAAATGTCAAAATCAGATGTCAATTCATCGTCAGGACCATTTTGAAGCCAACAAGTGGCCGCCAACCTTGATTGCAAAATTTAGTCGCCGCGGGGATCGAACCATCAACAGTACCTTATTTTTTTTTGGTACTACTAAAACCGTTCAGCGAAAACGAAACATGGTTTTGTGGTCCATACATGCGTCCCTACAATATGCAAGAAACCGTTTCCAAAAAGCGCGGCTTGCCCTGAAAGACCTCCCTTGTTAGGAACCCTCAAAACTGGCGTTACTTGGAAGGCGCCAGATACAGTAGCGGTAAAAAGTTCAGAAACTTCTTTGTTTTTGACAAATGCAGCCAATAAACAACGAAATCGTCTCAAATTCACATATTGCACGCAAAGTGCTAGTGTAGAATACGTTGTGTAGTATAAGTTTCCGTAATCGAGTATGTAATTTAAAAAAATACGATTAAAACAGATCGCGCATCAAAAGTTTGGAACTCCACAATTTTGAAGCGAATTTGGCAAAATCCTATCGAATTCACACGAAGAAATGGTAATTTGATGATTAGCTGTAAATTTCTATGCTAGAATCGTTTTTATTGACAATGAATTCGAAAAGAACATTTTGGGACTTTTAAGTCGAAACATACACTTTGTGAACTTAATTGAAATTGTTTGGTGGGATTCTTCACTGGAATGTGGATTGTACGACATGCCAGCTCTTTCCTCGGTTACAGAGCTTAGTTAGAGTTCAAAGCTTGACTCAGTCTTTTCAAACAGCTTTTTGCTATGTTGGGAAGGCTGCAATGAGTAGTGTCTGTATCGGATCATTGTAGTGATATGTAGAAAACCCATACTTTTTCGCTAGTTTTGACTGTCGAAGGGAAACATTGGATTCTGCAGACTATTCACTTCTGCAGGCACTAAGAACTGGGCATAGCCGAACAGTTGGACACATCCTCGTTGGAACTGATACCTACTGAGCTTTCCATTTGACAGATGATTTCACTAAGGTGAAATTCGATTCGTCGCTAAGTGCAAATTTTTGTGCCTTGTCTTTGGTCCATGTTAGATGTGCGAAAGCGAGTGGGGCCAATCTGCTCTTAACGCCCAACAGCGGCTTGTAGAACGTCTTCCCTTATATTCGCCAGAAGCGGGCCGATGTGACATCCGGACCAGCATTCAAATGAAAGGAAAACCCGATAAAGTAGTCTCTTGGTCAGGAAGGTCAGGAAGACGAGAGGTGCCAACCACTCTTATCCTAAGTATTTGAGAACACAAGACAGAGGTTTACGGTTCGGCCTGCATCTCATGGTGCGCCTAAACTTCAACAGAGTGCCTAACCTCTCACACAGCTAGGTCGGACATCCGGTGATGAGCATCGCGCTTCTTTGGATTTTCAACCGCTCCGCGGCCTACCGTGCACTAAAGAGAAGACCAATAAAGTAGTCTTTGTTGTGGCCGCCCCACAAGTTCTGACATCTTGGATCTCAGGAAAAGCATGAAGAAGCGAAACGACTGCAATACCCGGGTTGGCTCGAGAAAGGTGACCAGAACGCTGGAGTTTCTAACACAGCCATGTAGAGAGTGGTCGGATAACAACTGCTCACAGTCCATTATAAGTTGCATAAGCACCACTGCTCAATCCAACGGGAGGAGCACAGCAGAGACAAAAAGTTCAAAGAGCTGGTGTCGAGGGCCGAAAATGGCGATTACGCGGGCACCGTTTTCATCGACGACAAAATTCCTCACATGGAGAGCGGCTACAATCTTGGAAGTCAGTGAGAGTGAAAGGAATATTCGCCACAAGCAGCAGCCGAACCTTATCATGGTCTGGACGGGGGTCTCAACTACCGGTCGCTCACCATCACTGCCTGTTTACAAAGGAATACAACTTGATACTAGACCGAGCCAAGGGACATTTCGGTGCACCATCTGTTACTGAGGTATCTAGCCACTTTGAGGAGGGGTGATGATCTTTTCAATAGGACCCAGCTTCTGCATAGGAGGCAAAAATTGTTCAGGAGCGCTGTTAGGCACTCTTTCCGATTTCACATCCTCGAACGAATGGCTCTCCTATCCCTTGATTTCAGCGTGCTGGACCATCCTATGTGGGCTATGTTAGGGGCAGAGCCTGCACTAAACATTGCATCCACATGGATGAGCCGGAGCCTTTTCTCTGCAAAGTTTCGAAGAGAACACCCCAGGATGCCATGCGGGCCACAGTAGAGTTGCGTTCGAAGCAATTGGGAGCCATACTCACAACAACAGGGGAGCATATCCAATGAATGTCATTCCTTTCAATATGTAAATGTATTGCTAAATTTTGTAAACCTCTTGAAATACATCCAGAAAGAAGTTACAAGCAAAGAAAAGTGGTGCAATATTTATGGGACACCCTGTACATTAAGAA